TCATATTTATTGTATTACTAGCGGCCCGCCCTCGCTTCGCTTCGGTGTACAGCTGAAGTGTAGACTACAGTTTTTGTTCTCAGGCTTGTATTATACACAATGACATTCATCTATGATTCTTCTTATACCTGCATGCAAAGTCTCAGCCCAATCGGTTTAAAATTGACAAAGTTTCGTACAAACTTTCATTCCCTATTTTATCCCCTTATGGGTAGAATTGATCGAAATCCTTTCTTAGCGGATGCCTACGTCATAACATCTACCTGCATGCCAAATTACAGCCCGATCCGTCCAGTGGTTTAGGCTGTGCGTTGATAGATCACTATGTCAGTCAGTCACCTTTGAGTTTTATATATATAGATATAAATAGATAGATATCTAAGGTAACATTCTTAGTACCGGAACCGGAAAAGCACAGCACAGGTGATCCTGGTGACGCATTATACGTAACGTTTCACGCAAATGAAAAAAGAAAATCGTATTAAAAATAAAACAGGAGATCTACTGTAAAATCGGGAGTCCTGGCAACCCTGAGCGTCACTCATATTTGACTGAATAGACTTAGTTACTAATCTAATGGAACGCTGATTAGCGGCTTGTGGGACACGTACGTTTTATATTAACATGATAATAGCTTCACATAGGCATGGAACACGGATACGACGCAGAAGGGTGTACCTATAGATATTTTGAGGGAAACCTCATTTTGATAATTGTTTATATCGCAAAAAGTGACAAGCCAAGTCACAGATCAACCACAGCATAACATAACACAGCTTATAATAATACTGGGTTACATTATATATTTATTTATGTTTTAGATTTTTTCATTTTTGCACTTAACACTATTTATCTAATTATAATTCGAAAGGAGCTCGATGGCGCAGGTGGCTAGCGCGTTCGGCTGCGTTCGTTGAAGTTAAGCAACTTTAGCAGTGGTCGGACAGTAAGTACAGATTCATTATGCCATCACCAAGTCTACGAGATTTTTATTTACCAACAAATAATATTGATCGATGATACCTAAATGAAATGAATTATTATTGTTAATAATAACAATTTTGTTAATTAGAGGTTAGAGTATATATATATATATAAAACCCAAAGGTGACTGACTGACATAGTGATCTATCAACGCACAGCCCAAACCACTAGATGGATCGGACTGAAATTTGGCATGCAGGTAGATGTTATGACGTAGGCATCCGCTAAGAAAGGATTTTGATCAATTCTACCCATAAGGGGATAAAATAGGGAATGCAAGTTTGTATGAAACTTTGTCAATTTTAAACCGATCAGGTATAAGAAGAATCATAGATGAATGTCATTGTGTATAATACAAGCCTGAGAACAAAAACTGTAGTCTACACTTCAGCTCTACACCGAAGCGAAGCGAGGGCGGGCCGCTAGTGTATACATATGTACGTTCATTGTTACACACAAATACTACTCGATTATTCGAATTATGACTATCAGAAAATAATTAAGTAGCGGGCCAGGGATTTTAGACTATAGACGTCCATTCACTTGCCTAACACTTTCCGATTGTCTTTTGTTACTTGATAGGAAACACGCGAGGATCTCATCAATGCGACTTCGACAATACCTTCCTAGTTCGACGAGTTCTGAATAATCGCGTTCAGAAACCATGCTACTTCCTCACGCACTTCCCTACCAGTGTACAAGGTGGCATCTAGAAGTAACAACTGGTGGTTTCACGCAAAAATATGCGACATACGGAACGTGCGACGCGGTGACGGCCTTGTACTATCGCCGCCACTATTCTATTAACTTACTTTTAATACAGTGCTTTTGAAGTGAAAACTTCTTTAGCGGCGCTGTACACTTTTTTTTGTATGGGTAAAAAATGTTAAACTCGCGTCAGGTTAGACACGTGGGCTGATCGCATCATGACACACAATAAAATTGGAAAGGTTGTTGACTTTCAATATATTGGACGAAACATAGTAATATTTTATTTTACCGTATTATAATAATAAGTCTCTATCTAGGACGTCCACGTGGCAGCTTTATTGCGAAGAAAATGCATTTTTTTACAATAGATGTCGCTAGGTGCGCTTAAACGTGATTCATGTAAGTTGATTTTCCAGAGAGATAAACTTTTTTAATGTTAAATAAATTGCCATGTTTGTGTACGATAGCGCAATAAATAAATATTGTATTCTACCGCATACATGATAGTACTTTTATACTGATAATTAAAGCAATTCGTGCAAAATTATTCCCTAACCATTCCGAAATATCAAAAATGCACAACGTTAATATTCAAGTTTTCACTTCTGCCGGCACTCCCGGAGTGCAACCAGTCGTCTTTTATTTTTAATAAATAATGCACAGTCCCTCAAAACCAAATTTTGGTAACCATATTCTTTTATAGATCGTCCAATTATGTTAATATAAAATCATTACCTGAATACCTACGAATGTGAATTAGAGCTAAATTCATCAGAAATACGTACTTGTTTACCAACCATAGCCATTCGCGTTATTCGCCGAAATTTAGTTATTTTCAAATCTCTGTTGTGAGGGCGCCTCTCTTGTGGGGGCCCCTCAGCCACAGCCTCGCCTGCCTTACTTTAAAACCAGCCCTAGCTACCTTATTTAAGAAATCTTTACCTTCTTTTTATCTTATCACCTTAGAATGAGATGATCATGATGAGGTACCTTAATCTACCGATTTGAATCAATAATGTCAATTTGTCCTGTGATTTGGTAACTTGTCTTTTTTAAGTTGTACGCGATTTATTAGATGTAATCTACTGTAGGATTTTGAGTGGGTATGCTGTCGGTCGCAGATGACCTTTACGGCGTCACCGGGTTTGGGGACGGCGAGATGCTAAGCGGACCTCAAGCCGAGAATTGGCGAGTGCCTCTAGAGGTATTCCAGGCGGAGGGCATCTCCCCACGGGCGGGGAGTTTCCTCTCCGTCTGGAGCCTCTAGACTCGAAGCTGATGGGGTCGGTTTAACTAGGGGGCGTCTCTGAGACTCTAGTTGTCGTGGGGGCGGGGCTACTGTAGGAGTTTTATTCAATTACTTTTAATACCTACATCGATGTTAACTTATACACCGTGAATTATAAGTTAACTTAAAAATAGCGCCGGTTGTAAACAGTGGACGTTCTACACCCCCATACAAAAATATTGATTAAAATCCACAATCCATCCAGGCACAAATTTGCATACCTGGAAGTTTTATGCATATAAAGTACTTAGATCCTAAAAGTAGATTTACTTGAATCAATTTATGACAATTGAAATTAATAAAGTTTCATAATTAATTAGAGAGTTAACGGTGAGCCATATTTTGGAATATTTGTTAATAGGTGCGGGTTCGAGTCCCGTCTGCTGCCTGGTCCACGTGGAATTTTTTCTAGTTACATTTTCTTTAGATTTCAACATCGTGCAGAAACATGCTTAAAAATGAAAATTATAACTATAATTGCTATTTCTTCTTTTAAATGTTTAATACTTGTAAAGATATTCATTTGACATTGTGGGGTTACCTACAATGCGAGGCGCTGCCTTGCAGCATGACAAAGGCTAGAAAAAGATAGCGAAGGGTGCGGGTTCGAGTCCCGTTTGCTGCCTGGTCCGCGTGGAATTATTTCTAGTAATATTTTCTTTAAATAAGTGAATATTTTTTGCGGCAGTATAACCTAAATCGTTGTCATAATTAGGTGGCAGTTTCTCAGGTACTTAACTCCAAATTCACGGTATATAAATTTGGCGCTGACTGTACATTCTTGCGTATCGTGCGCCGATCGCTATAATTAATAGACGACTTTAATTTCTGGTGGAAATTATGGCTGTACAATTCCTAGTATACGATACGTCGTATGAAAGTAATTTAATAATTAGTAATAATTAATATGAGATTTTCATTTGCTTCACGTGATATTTAGTTGATTTAGAGCGATGGCGCAGTGGTAAGTTTGGTCTGCGATCGTGGTAGGTAAATAATTTTCGCAATGGCCGGTCATCAGATGGGTTACCAATGAATTTGTATGGATGTAGTGCAGGTGTTTGTTACTCATTTACGCTAAAACGGCTGAACGGGTTTGGATGAAATTTGGAAAAGGTATTTTCTAATAATTGTTAATCAATCACAATCTAGGTAGATTGACACACATGACATGTAACTTTTTACTTATGAACTTTTTTAAGTTCTTGTTGAATACTCGAAAATCTAACTGTAACGCAGACGGGCGAAAGCTTGTTAAAAAAACCGGTCAAGTTCGAGTTGGACTCGCGCACGGAGGGTTCCGTACAAACCTGATATTTTTTATTTACGGTTTTCTCATTATTCATCTGCACTATAAGACGTTACTTCGTACCAAATTTCAAGATTCTAAGTTCACGGGAAGTACCCTGTAGGTTTTGATTCTCGTGCGAGTTTCGAAAGAGAATTTGCGGAAATTTGCGGCATAAACGGCTGTATCTTTTGATTGCTTTGGCTTAGAAGTTTGATTTTTTCACAACTCCAAGGGACAACCTGAGTATTAGATATAAATTTCTGTTCGATACCTCCTCGCGTTCCTGAGCAAAACGGTCTTGACAGACGGACGGACAGACAATTTTTTCCTTTTGAGGTACGAAACCCTAATAAAGCTGGTGATTCTAAAATCGCGTTTTGATTGATGATCGAAACACGTCAGTTAAGGACCAATCACGCTCGTTAATTTGTATACTTACTTAATAAAACGTATTACTCCAATCCGATTTCAATACCCAGCTTTCCCTTTGAATTACACATTCCACTAAAGAAAAATACAAAATAAATAAACAAATCCTAATAAGCGATAACTACCTATCGCAACGATCCGTTTTGATCCAATTTAACTTTTTACTAAGATTTATTCCAAACATCAAGAACAGGCAACGGCTACAGGAGAAAAAATGGAAAGCAAATTATTGTCCTGGCAGTGTGATTATTTTGAAGTATTTGTGTCGGTTTTGTTACGATGGATTTTGAACCTTACCTTCATAGTGAGAAGGGCTAAGCCGCCGATTCCCGCAGCGCCCAACGCTTTGGCAAACATAAGGCCAATCAAAGCTACGCCAGAACCGCCGCCTTTGTGTCCTCTCCCGGCCACTGGAACAAATACAAAATCTATTAACATTTTCAGTGTAATGGTACCAAATTCTTAAAATTATAAGAGGTATTCTGTAACATACAATCCCACTTTCGATTTCGCCAATTAGATTTTTTGACATTTGTCAAAAATCTTTTCTGGCTGTTTCAACAATCGTTGGCGCTTTTTGCCGTGTAATGAGGTGATTCATATTCAACTCATAATAAAAAAAATTGTGTGTGTCAGCTCCGACGTACGACTGGAGTTTACTCCTTAAGTTCGATAGTCTAACCAGACGCAAAAATAGTTTATTTAACTTAAACAGATTGATACTGTATGAAAGGGAAAATTAACAAGCTAATGAAATTATATACATATATAAATATATTTATTCATTTCATATACATTTATTATAACTAATCGACGAAATATTTTACATTAAACTTTTTACAATAGTAATATGTAATTATTATTATCAGACTATTATCATTTTTTTAAATATCAATTAAATCAACATTGTCTGCATTATTAATTACAGTGGCAAGTGGTTTATGGTAACTAAAATAAGACACATGGACGTTCGTAGATACGTGGTTCAAGAATCTTGAAAATACCGCATCAATGGTTGTACCATACCTCGTTGTCCCCATTGCTCTATCAGTAACAATATCTAAATTCAGTTCAGATTTTAAAAAAATTATTAATGTCAATCCGTCATCTTTGTTTGTCAAAGTTGCGCGACATAGGATGCGCACCAAAAACGTAACGAGATTCATCGATAGATTTCACTCCTCACATTTTTCTCATACCGGGCCCCTTATATATGCATATCGATTCTTAAGGAGTAAACTCCAAAAATGGAGCTTTTGATCTCTGTGGTGCGGTCTTTTTAATGATGATGAAAATCCCCGACAAAAACAGCCTCAACCCATGTGACGCGCTCACTAGATCAACTCCGTACTATAACCGGGCCGCCTCGTTCGCAAGCTGTCCGAGCGGCGATTTAATTAGAATATTGTTAATAAAACGAAGAATAAATGTTTGCATTTCGAGATAGCTCCGGGGCACAGCGGGTTTTCTATATACATACGAGTATATTTGTTTTTTTTTCGTCATCCATTTTCGTAACCGGACCTCCATTAACGTGTAGTAATTAACTTGGCCTCGTACAAATGATAAAAATATATCAGTTCACCTACAGAATATTCGCCATTTTGTTTCAAGTGTCTAGTGGACGTTCAACCGTTTGAGATTTACTTTCGGTATACTTCCGGTTCAAGTCAATAAGACTATTTTTGACCCTAAAAATTAAAGGTTCCTGTGGCATTCCCAGACTGACTTTTACGCGGACAAAGTCGCGAGCGCAGGTTAGTAATTAAATAATGAAAACCTCCATGGCCGAGTGGTTTGTACGCCGGGTTTCATGGTGTCGCCAACTCGTGAGGTCCCATGAATGACATGACATATATACTTATATATGTACAGTATATGTTTTCTATCCGTTACCCTAGCATCGCATAACACAAGCCTTATAGTGCTTACTTTGGGGCTAGGCTAATTGGTATGTGTTGTAAAAAAAAATTGCTTAATTCGTGTCTAATGTAATGAACACTATTCTGTTCCACAAGCACTTTTTAAGTCCCACCATGCGTATAATGTCCTTTATGTGAAATAGAAGCTGCGTATGTTGATAATTATGTAAATTAATGAAGCTGAATTTGCGAGAAAGATAATCATCTCGTAGTCTTTGTTGCCACGGCGTGTATTGTAACCGTTTGTATATTATGAAAGCATAAGTCGGCGTTAGTGTCTCACATCATAAATCATAATATTAAACAAACATTTCATACAGACATGCGCACCTACAGGGTCCCTATCCTAACAGAATGCGATAAGAATCATTCGCTTTACATTCATAACTTTTTCAAACACTTTTGACGGTAACTTATTACGAATATCGGACTTAAGTATTTTATATCATCATCAATCATGATGGAAATCAAACACATATCTCCTAAGCTCATACACAAAATTCTATGCGCCGTGGTTAGCTGAGAATTCTGAATAGTTCTTGCCTAGATATTTATATCTAAATAAATAATTTTGTTACTATGTATTTGAATAAATCTATGGTATCATAAGTCAATATGATAAGTCCTATTCTATTGTAGGTAAGGCGCAGCGCATACTGGGAAAGGCGCAGTTTCCAACACTCGCACTAATTAGCCCAGTCCCAAAGTAAGCACTATAAGGCTTGTGCTATGGGATACTAGGGTAACGGTTAGAATACATATAATATAATACATATATATGTAAAACTCAAAGGTGACTGACTGACATAGTGATCTATCAACGCACAGCCCAAACCACTGGACGGATCGGGCTGAAATTTGGCATGTAGGTAGATGTTATGACGTAGGCATCCGCTAAGAAAGGATTTTGATCAATTCTACTCCCAAAGGGATAAAATACCGAAGCGAAGCGAGGGCGGGCCACTAGTATAAGTATATTTATATAGAAATACATATTAAACATCCATGACTGGGATACAAATGCTCGTATTCATCACACAAACATCTGCCCCCACCGGGATTCGAACCCGGGACCTCTCGAGTCGGCGACACCATGAAACCCGGCGTACAAACCAATCGGCCACGGAGCTCGTCCTTTATCATAAGTTTAAAAATGACGTGACAAATTTAAAACAATACACAGCGTTAGGCACGGCCACTCCGCTCCATGGCTCTGCGTCGCTCCGTGGCTCTTGGCCACGCACGAAATTGCGGCGCTTGGTATCTTCACCGCACCTCTCCTAATGTGCGCTGCGCCTAAGCCACTTACAGACATATGCCATAGAGAACAAATGTGTAGTCAGATATCTTATTTCAGCAGTGGGTAAATACGACATGAAGATGAAACTATTTATACACAACGTAATGGGCTTGCTTTTGCAACCGTAATCTAAGATCCTTCATATAACATGTAGGTTAGTCAAATCCTAAGGTGTACAGGGTGATGATAATGATGTTGAATAACCGCTTATTTAGTCTCAGACAAACGTAAATTACCTGTTCTATCCTATGTAATTTGTAAACTTCCCTTGTTTAACTATTACAAACTTTGTATGAAGATGTCCATGGGAGAAAGTATACCTATTTAGCAGCGCATAGTATACAGAAAGAGGTTAGAAGGATTTTGTGGGCGGGCCAGACACGCCATAGTAATGTGTGAGCAAATGCTCATAACCTGGCCAAAACCTGGTTTTGATTGCGTCGTTGTTCGCGGGTGTGAGCGTTGATTGGTTCGATTGTTTGATTTCGCGTCGTTTGATTGGCTATTATCTATTAGGTAGAAGTGTAGTGAGAGCGAGCTGGCGACATCAGTTCTCGTACAAACGGTCTATGATCACCCATCTGTTTTTAACCTCTTTTGTTAAACTATTTTAATTGTGGAAAAAAACTTCCTACTCAAATGCCTCTTAGATTAATTAGCGCTTTCAGCACTAATCGTTGAAACTAAGCAACTTTCGCAGTGAGCGGTCAATGGATGTTTGACAAAAAATATAGCTCCATCGTGCTTCAGAAGGCACTTTAAGCATTTTGTCTCGGCTACATCTGCTGTTGTTAGTACCCACGAATCCGCATTGGGCACGCGTGTGAGATTAAGGCCTTATTATAAATATAATAGGGGTGATGACGGGGTACAGTAAACGAAATTCTATTTAGTCCGTCAGTTAGATGATCGAAAAATAATGGACGTATTTCTTCTTTGGGCAATCAACCAAGAAATGACAAAGTTATAGCGCGTCAGTGACGTCACTTTTAAGTGAAAATTGTACCAAAACGTGACGTCATGCGACTTTTCAAATCAATATATCTGTGCAATGTTTATATTATGTGAAAAAGGGAAAAATACGTGTCCAATACTTTTTCATAATCTACCTGATAAACGAAGAAAAAAAATTAGTCATCATCCCTATTATACTATTCCATTTATAGGGAAGCCCTGTGCCCCAGCAGTGGGGATATTAATAGGCTGCTCATGATGAAGATGGCTCAAATGGCAAGGAGTGCTAGATTAAGCCAACTTGCTTGCTCCACCTTATCAGCAACACTGATAAAAATGTGCTTAAATTTACCCAAACAAATGAGAAAAAAAATGACGAGCTCGATGGCGCAAGTGGTTAGCGCGTTCGGCTGCGATCGTTGAAGTTAAGCAACTTTCGCAGTGGTCTGTAATTGGATGGGTGACCAAAAATTTACTATCTCGAGTTCCTCCGTGCTTCGGAAGGCACGTTAAGCCGTTGGTCCCGGCTGCGTCTGCAGTCGTTAGCACCCACCAATCCGCACTGGGCTCGCGTGGTGGGTCATGGCCCAATCTCCCTATTCCATCCATAGGGAAAACCTGTGCCCCAGCAGTGGGGACATTAATAGGCTGATGATGATGATGATTAATGAGAATTTTTTTTTTCAGATATAAAAAGCGTAATGTTTAATAATAGTTATAATGTAATCAAATCGGTACCTAATTGTATATGCAATGTTTTTGGACATCAATTACAATGAATAAACAGCTCGCTATTGCCGGTAAATTAATGGTGAATGGTGATTTTATTAACTTTATCAACTACAACTTTAAACTTAAAGCTCATCTAAGCACCACTTACACTAACATTCTTAAATCAGATTAAGGCTTAATCATATTTAACACAATATCATTCTTTGTTAATTGTTTAAAGTTAATTAAATATAAAAATATGAGATTTGGACATGATTAGCTTTTGAATTTGATTTAAGAATGTGGGTGCGAGTGAGTTTAAGCCATCAAATTATTTTAACAATTAAAAATCACGTAATTATAACAATTAAATCACAAGCTATATATATTCACAAATCTCCATAATTATACTTTATAACGACAAGTTAAAACATTTAGTCTTGGTATATATATAAATACACAAAGCACATAATTTATAACTGTTTTATATTCCATAGCACAATAATTTCTTTCGTCTGCATAGAAATAAGTATTTTTACACAAACATCCCCCTTTTAATCCCCTTAAAAGTTGATTTCTGGAACTTAAACTATCGTAGGTTATTCCCCGGGGCTCAAACTATCTCTATGCCAAAGGCTGTATCGGTTCAGCAGTTTAAGCGTAAAGAGGTAACACAGTAACAGACAGACAGACACACTTTCGCATTTATATTATGGAATCTGCATAAGATAAAAAAATATTCGCATAGCACTATTTTTATATCGTATCAGTAAGTTATCATTATAATCATCAATGTAGCCGAATAATGTCCCCACTGCTGGGGCACAGGTCCATGTCCATTCCATGAATAGCCAGATTGGGCCGTGACCCACCAAGCGGGCCCAGTACGGATCGGCGGGTGCTAACGACTGCAGATGCAACCGGGACCAACGGCTTAACGTGCCTTCCAAAGCAAGGAAGAGCTCGAGATAGTAAATTTTTGGTCACCCATCCAATGACTGACAACTGCGAAAGTTGCTTAACTTCAACGATCACAGCTTAATGCGCTGACCACTTGAAAAACAACTCTTACTTAATGCTACTACTACAACGTTTCAGTAAGTGCTTATCAGTAAATATTGTTTACTAAGCACGTTCGTGTATGAAATATCTATTAAAATACTTAAAAACCTATTATAAGACTTACCTATAGTTTTAAATATTAGTTTATATATATATACTAGCTGACCCAGCGAACTTCGTACCGCCCTAAAAAAATAGGGGTTGTCCAGCGGACAAAATTGTGAATCTAAACCATTCTCAGATCCCCTTGAACACACACAAAAAATTTCATCAAAATCGGTCCAGTCGTTTAAGAGAAGTTCAGTGACATACACACTCACAGAAGAATTATATATATAAAGATTGTAACGCTTTGATTTTGAATTGACAAGTGAAAAAGTATACCTATGTCAATAGCGTTTCTCACCTTTGGTATCCTTGTAAGTCTCATCGACTGTCTTCAACGAGTCAGCGAAGAACTCCGTCAGCTTCTCCTTCTCAATCAGCTTCGGCAGTTTCACCATCAGCTCGTGGCCCTGAAGGAACTTCGCCATCCTGAACAGTACCGAGTTCCCACCGTAGCTTCTTCCCTCATCTTCCAAACTATTAGACACTGGTACGCTTACTAATCTCACACCGTCAGCTATATTCAAATCACCATCCAATATGGACCCTAAACTCACAGCCGTAAGGGCCAACACAAATACAGCTTCCCTGTACATTTTCGTTTCGAAGTCACTCAAGAAATAAGACAGAGATGGATGCATAAACGCTTTTATAGCTATAGCTTTCAAAAAAATGAGAAGTACAAACTCGAGCAATTGCTCTGCAGTGAGTGGCAAAAAAACAGGGTTATTCAACTACTTGTTACTGGAAATATTTACACTGTGTTTATGTTAGAGTGTAAGTACACTGGGTGGTTCAAATTATTGCGTTAAATTGAGTACGTAATAGCTGTTAATAATGATAATCGCGTCTTGTTTGATCTCGTCATAAACTCATATTTTATACTCGGGTTATTAACGGTAATAAAAATTAATATTACCACGAGCTAGATATGAAGTTTAACAACATCGCAACAATGAATCTTAATAGAGAATGTTTTCAAATAATGTTTTGGAACTACTTAATTTCACACAACTAAGGTATTATTATATGAAAACTACCCACATATATATATTTCTTCAATTATAAATTTGTATCAATTATATCGGTTTTAGAACAAAACACAACCCTTACTTTTATCAGCTGACAAAATTCACTACATCAATTTACATCTATAGGTATATCTATATCTTTTACATTATTCATTTCTTCTTTTTAATACAAAGTACATCAGTTCTTTGTTAGTAATTTTATTATTACATGGAAATTTCAATAAACACATTAGCTAAAAATTGCGGAATTACACTGATCTAAATCACGACATTGAAACCACTTCTAAATAAAAGTAAAACAATAGTATACATTTGCTCAACTAATAACATATACTGGAAGTGACATTCAATTAAGTTTGTAACAAATTTTTTTTGCATTTAACTTCTTCAATTATAATGAAAATTTTAGTTATTTACAAAATTAAGCTAGCTAGCTAGCTAGCTTAGGTGGAAACGTTCAATGGTTGAAATGAAATGAAATTTATTTGCATTAGTTGTGGTTACAATGATGTTATAAATGATTAGCCGTTTCCAGCATGCAAAATTAATTGAAATATAGATTTAAATTTATGTTATGACTGTTTTGTACTTAGAGCATATCTCTTAGTCTATGTAAAATACTTATTTGCAAAATAAAAATCTAATACATTAATAAAATAAAATGTCAAAAGCGAATCACATCAAGTCACATCTCATCTTCAGTAGGTGCAATATACGTTATTTCTATTTAAGTCAACAAGGTTGACAAAAATCCGTGGGACCCGTTTGCATGCAGTCGTTGGCACCTAGTATCCGAATTATGTGAATGCAACCATGCATCTATTAGGGCTCCTTTGTCAGACGCACCGCAAGCGGTAGTTTAGTGATACAGTTTATTTGTCTTACAGTTTGGGCATGGAACTCCAAAAGTATCAAGGAATCAAGTACTTTCCAAGGGTTTCAAAATTAAATTTACGCGGTTACTAGAAAATTTTGGCAGGAGCTGGATGCGAGTAGCCCAAGATCGATTTTAGTGGTGTGCAATTGAAGAGGCCTATGTCCAGCAGTGAACTAAGATAGGCTGTTGATGATGATCACTACAAAATTTATAAGTACACTCGCGGAAAGACCCGCTCTGTCACCCATAATGCCATAATCGCTTGCGGTAGGGGCCTTAGAAAAAATTCATTCATAGACATGTAATTATCGCTGTCTTACTTTTTCGTATAGCGCTGTCGCGATCACGATGTGGATGACAAAGTGCAACTTAAACAAATGCAATTCAATTCATTATTCAATCAATACAATACAATACAATACGCCAAGTGACAGAGCGCAAAATTCTGTGATAGTACCACCAAAATAAAAAATATTTTTCGAAAGTGTGTGGTAGCTTAGCGGTGTTTATGTAAAAGAAAAAGCATTAAAGCATTGTCTCTTCCAGTTAACGTTAATAATAATAGCTACATCCGAGTCGTAGATAGTTAAAAAACTAAAACCGAGCGGTTTTTAGCCGTCGGCGTTTTAAGATGTGGTTCTTTTGTGAGGTGAGAGTATTTGTACAGACTTCACAACAAGTGTCCAAGCAACACTAATATAACATCTATTACGAAGCCGTAGAGTTCAAAATTTTAAATAGATCAAACCGCATCTCTGCTGAGTTGATGACTGCGGGTTTTTTTTTAATTTCACATTTAAGGGCTTGAAAATAGAACTTAGTCAAGGTTTTTTTTTTTTTTTGGTTTGCCTCAATATTGCTATAAGTATTAATGAGGCGCATATTCGGTATACCTAATTATAATTTATTTCTTGCTTTTATAACTGTATGACTGATAGGATAAAGGACAATGGGCAAAATTGCATGGACACTGCACCCACGTCCGCCACGGCTTAAACTACATTTGTTTGAAAGGTATCATAGTCATGATCATTTGTGCCAAAGCGCATCAAATTCCATCCCGGGAGTCTTTAGTTATTTTAAGTTAAATAGGTACAATTCCATAGGTAAAAGTAACTATAACGAACATAATATTTAAAGATACAAGGACGAGTATATAGAACGGATATATTAATTGACGACCACGGAGGTCGTCAATTAATATATCCGAGTCGAGTGGTTTGTACGCCGGGTTTCATGGTGTCGCTGGCTCGAGAGGTTCCGGGTTCGAATCCTGGTGGGGGCAGATGTTTGTGTGCTGAGTACGAGCATTTAAATTGATCCATAGATTTTTTATTAGCTCGTACGATTATAATGACGTACGCGATGATAATCGTGGTCCTATATTAAAGCGTGTTAGTTAAATATCAATTAAATAACAGGGAGCGCACAAAATGTAAGACATAGGACTGCATACGAGTAGACTAGTTGCAACGGCAACTGCAATATCACATCCTTCAACCCCCATACCCTATTAGACGTTTTGAGGAGTCTCAGTAAGTGCAAGCAGCAAGCAAGCAGGATAGTCGGTAGGCTTTGTTGTTTTTAGTATTTTGTATCTGGTTGTACAGTAAGATATGATTCACTCACTTATTATTGCTAATATTATAAAACGAAAGTACTATTGATATTGAATGAATTTCTTTAGCTATTTAAATATCATCATCATCAGCCTATTAATGTCCCCACTGCTGGGGCACAGGCCTTCCCTATGGATGAAATAGGGAGATTGGGCCATGACCCACCACGCGGGCCCAGTGCGGATTGGCGGGTGCTAACGACTGCAGATGCAGCCGGAACCAACGGCTTAACGTGCCTTCCGAAGCACGGAGGAACTCGAGATAGATGTTTTTGGTCACCCATCCAATGACCGACCACTGCGGAAGTTGCTTAACTTCAACGATCGCAACCGAACGCGCTAACCACCTGCGCCATCGACCTTCTCTATAAGGAGCTATTTAAATATGCCCGTGTGTAACCGGTCCCCATGACTTACACACAAAGGTCGTCTATAAGGACTATGTGCGGAAACCTTAACCCCTAATATAGAACATACCCAGGTGTATATCTTTTGACCCCCAGGTTATTTTTTTTTTGGTGCCATAATAAAAAAGGCTAGTTTTTCATAGATCTATCGATTCATACTAATTACATTGTTGGCGGAGCTGGGTGCGTTTTGCCCATTGTCCTTTGTGTTTATCCAAAAAAATATTTGCAATTTCGTTGACCTATTTTATATCGAATTAAAAGCACAGAACATTTTCTAAGAATTTAATACTTAACAATCACGATATACAAATTTCTTTATCTATAAATTAAACTTCTAATGTAGGTATTCAATTTAGAATACTCGTAAATGGAATAATTTCTACATAACATCCGCTCAGTGACTGATTATGTAACAAGCGTCAACAATCCATTCTAAAGACCGTTTTGATTACATTCTGATGCAGAAACACAACAAGAAGGCCACGAAAAGTCTATTGCTCTAGAGAGAGACAGCAGCCAATTTCTCGACTTCCTACGTAAGAGTGAAAGTGAAGCGTAATAACCTCAAACGTAGCCGAGAAAGCCCGCCAAACGTACACCATCTTGCTTGTTTTTTTTTTCTTTTTGGCACTAACAATAGCATCGGCTATCGACTGTTTTGCTTGTTTTGTAGAAATCGAAAGTATATCCGATTGCTATGATTTGAAGGCGGAGAACTAATTTTTAAGAATATTTCCGCAAAGTGGACTTTGAAACAGGAAGGTTGTCTTAGAAATCGGATACAATCTTTCAAAATTCAAATTTATAATGCGGAAATATGATTTTGCATTGATTTAAGTAGATAGTAATATTTGTATAGAGGATCAAAATGGTATCATTCTCCGTGTTTGTTTTAATTAAGTAATTGCGTTAGATAGGGCAATCTATATTATATATATATATATATATATATTTTCCGATCTAATTGGGCGTCTGTGGATGTTGCGCGCCTTCTTATAGAGGGCTGGGAAAGGCAAAATAATTTCACTCCGTAGTATTGTGGTCTTTTTTTGAAAGCGTTCATAGTAATGTTCTGTTGAGAATATTTTCTTAAGTTTACGGGAATATTGAACGTATTTGGTTACCGGAAATATGTAAAAATATATCAAGAAAATATTACACGAACCAGGCAGCACCCTGTGCTTTCCAGGCGGATGTACGGACCATTATCCTACCGCGGCCCTAATGGCCATGTCCAATTTCTATATTAAAACTCAAAGGTGACTGACTGACATAATGATCTATCAACGCACAGCCCAAACCACTAGACGGATCGGGCTGAAATTTAGCATGCAGGTTGATGTTATGACGTAGGCATCCGCTAAGAAAGGATTTTGATCAATTCTAACCCAAGGGGATTATATAGGGAATGAATGCTTGTATGAAACTTTGTCAATTTTAAACCGATCGGGCTGAGACTTTGCAAGCAGGTATAAGAAGAATCATAGATGAATGTCATTGTGTATAATACAAGCCTGAGAACAAAAACTTTAGTCTACACTTCATCTCTACACCGAAGAGAAGCGAGGGCAGGCCGCTAGTTGTAATATCTTTATATATATAATTCTTCTGTGAGTGTGTATGTCACTGAACTTCTCTTAAACGACTGGACCGATTTCGATGAAATTTTTTGTGAGTGTTCAAGG